CCACATTTTTTATTTGTGAAATGACAGACACAATGTACAAATCGTTTATGAATGACCATTTCTAATTTAACTGGTGCAGCAGTGGCAATAGAGAGCTGATATACCATCCAATTTGTATTATTAAAAAATTTGTACGGTAAAAACTATGATAAAGGTTGATATTTTATCATCAACCATTTCTGCAAGTTACACTGATGAGACAGTAAATGACTGTCTTTATGAGTGAGTCGTTATATGCACAAATCATTCACTCAACTGATTAAAAAAAACACACACAATGATTCATAGTGATGTTTTGCTAATATGTGGACTGTCCACGGAAAGCACCACAAAGGCCTTCTGATTGGCTAAACAAAAATTCTGTCTCTGGCCACTTCATATTTACTTCAGAGATGGCTTTTATTTTCTAAACACCATTCCTTAAAATGGCTTACAACACCTTTAAAGTTTAAAAACGGTAAAAATGTTTTACAGTAAAATGTATTGTTCTGTTAAATATATTCTGTATTTTAATGTTACAATTATATCATGCAGTTAAATAATATAAATAATAAAAGTGTAAAAAGGGAATTTCTACAATGTTAAATTGCTACCTGAAAAAAAACCCACAGTAAAAGATACTAAGAAAAATCAGTCTGTGCACTTTTATGAATACATTGTGCATTCTGACATGGTCTGGTGTCACAGGATGAGTGATAGTGCATTCAAATGAACAGTAAGAGAACAGTCATGGTTCCAGGAAATCTGATTAGTGCTGCTGACAGTGGTCTCTTGTCACCAACACAACACTTTACTTATTCATGCTCCACACAAGCAAGCACACACTCCTGTCTCCTAACAAGGGGTAAAACAGATGGCTAGAAAATTATCATTATGATTATTGTAAAATCTAACATCAAAATAATTGTTTAATAAAATGTAGTAATAAAAACATCCAATGCAATGCAAATGTGTATAAGAGGAAAATTAGAGCACTTGTGTAGGTAGTAGCCTCAAGTCTTTGTGCAATACTTTCATGTTCGCTGTTAAGTTTGGATTTCAGATATTTGAAAAGAGTTAGTAAGATGAAAGATGGCTCTAAAGGGTTAAAGAATCACAGCAGCTCTGTGAAAATACAATCCACATACCAGACATATGAAAGCGAGACCCATGGTGAGCCTTTTAAGTTAAAACAAAGAATCTGACCAGCGGAAATACCCGTGAGTCAGGTCCAAAAAAAAAAAAAAAAAGTAGGGGAACTGCCTGATTTATTCAGTTGTAGTACAACAAAAATCCTTTTATGAAAGCATTCTTGTCTGAAGCATTTACTGGAAACTGCTGACCTAACCTGTTCAAGTAGCCTACTGAGAGATCACTGATGGTCAGTTTTGATTTGTTTGTTTGTTTGGTCGAGGAATGTATATTAACATCTTTATAGTAAATGTTGGTTAGAAAATGATAATGTTGAAGCCTGTTTGGAAGTTAGTAAGAGGTTGTTGAATGGCCTTGTAAACGTAAGATGATATCGCGCCCTGGTGGCCACAGACTGCTGCAACAACAGCCAATGTGGCTGAGGCTACGTTCACACGAAGCCAGGGCTGCGTTCAGCCCCGACAAAAACGGTGCAAAACGTTTTTTAAACGGAAACGGTGGTGCGTTGAGCACCCTGTTCTGAAGAGCTGCAACTATGGCAGCTGAGAAGACCATTCTTTGTGCTCTTTTTGAAGAATTATCGGAGCTTGATGAAATCAGTATAAATACGTGTTTAATACTGCAAAATACGCTCGATGTTACAGTCACTGCCCTTGCCGTCCAGAATAAAAGAGAACATCCCAATCAAATGAAGGGATTTTGTTTAATTATTGTGATCCAACATTTGCCTCGCATTTCAGGATGAAAAGACAAACATTTCAGGTGAAGGATAATCCACTTCTTACCTCCGAGACTGTGTTATGATCTATATGGCCTTATTATTTTTATTGTGAGTATTAGGCTTATCATTATTGCTGAGCACTGTTGTTGTGCTACGATATTGTAATATTTACCATTATATAATCAGAGCAGTATAGAAAAGTTTATGAAAGTGTCACTGCTCTTATTATTTCAGTTATTTGCCTTTAATGTAAATAAACATGTGCAAACAATATACTTGCTCTTGTGAATTTATTTGGATGTTAATTATATTGTGAGCACTGTCTCTTTAATACCGCGTGGTTTACATACATGTTGCTGCTAATTGGGCTGACATGTTTGACACACCCACTAAACAAGAGAAAACGCATCTCAAACCCCGTTGCACACCGTTTCCAGGAAACATGTCGTTCAAACCGAAAACCGTAGCAAAACGTGGACCAGAAGACATTGCAATTACTAAATGATATTTAGACAGACTTAAAGAAGTTCCAGATCTATACTTGTGCTCTTATTATTTCAGTTATTTGCCTTTAATGTAAATAAACATGTGCAAACAATATACTTGCTCTTGTGAATTTATTTGGATGTTAATTATATTGTGAGCACTGTCTCTTTAATACCGCGTGGTTTACATACATGTTGCTGCTAATTGGGCTGACATGTTTGACACACCCACTAAACAAGAGAAAACGCATCTCAAACCCCGTTGCACACCGTTTCCAGGAAACATGTCGTTCAAACCGATAACCGTAGCAAAACGGTGCACAACGGTTTGAGCTTGAACTTGCCCCAGAATATCCCTATCCGATACCCTTCCCCCTCATCTCAAGAAATATCTGCATCCACACGAAACCGACACAAAACGATGTAGTATACATGCTAGACCAGTATGTGGCGCTGTAATTCTGCCACAGAGATGCACTAAAAACGGAGAAGAAGACTTGAACTATGCGCATAAACCTTGCGTGCGGTAAACAAACGATGATGATCGTTTCAGAAAAAGAATATATATAAAACTTGTGACTTTAATATTTCTAAACTCATTCTTAAATTGTCCAAATTCCACCAGCAAGTGCTTTTAGCCTGGAAAATGTGCTACTCACACAATTTCTCTCCTCACACCTCCTTCATTTGGAATAATGCCAATATAACGACTGCCAATACATCTTTATTTTTAAGGAATTGGTTTAACGGGGATATTAATCATCTTATGAATATGTTTGATAATTATGGGGATCTTTTAACTTGTGAACAATTCATGCGAATCCAGTTTCCCTGTGCATTTGAAGGAATTTAATTCGGTCATTAAAGCTATTCCTCCTACTCTTGTTAAAAGTCATATTCACTATAACTCTACAAAACCAACATTAATTTTAAACGGTCTTGAGCCGATTGATAAAAAATGCAATAACAAACATATTTGTACTGTTTTCCAAAAACAAAATAAAATGACACCTAGAGGAAAATTCTTTTGGAACTCTATTATTGATCATATTAATTGGAAGACTGCTTGGTTAATTCCCTTTAAATATTGTATCAATAACAAAACTAAAGAAATACATTTAAAAATTGTGCATACCATCTAGCCTGTTAAATCAATAATTACAAGATACTCTGATATTGATGATTTATGCTCCTTTTGTTAAAATGAGAAAGAGGTGTTATCACATTTATTTTTCGATTGTAAAATTACCCAACTTTTTTGGAAGGAATTGGCAGAATTTATTTTTAATCTAGTAAAGAATAAATACTGTTTTTCTTTAAAGGATATTATTGTGTACTATGAAAACAATGTTAACAAAGGTCTTGAATACATTGTTCATTTATTCATATTGCTGGCAAAATTTTATATACATAAACAATGCTTAAATTCATCCCCAATATTTAAGGTATTTTTAGTGGAATTTGATTGTTTTATATCTTCTCTGAAATTGTTAAAAAACAAAAAGTCAATGTCAAAACAAAGTTTAAAATATTATGACATTATTTTCAGTTCCCCTTACTAATTGTCACACTTTGTATAGCACTGACTGTCTTATGCTATGCTCTGTTCAGTGTTTAAACATGTCTCCAAATGACGATCTGTCACAGAGTCCATGCCCCATTAGCATAAGCATGCAAAATAAGGAAAAAAATCATCTTTTTTGTAACATGGTGGTATTACAAAAGTTTATACATCAACATTAAATAGAGATTAGCATTCTGTTTGGCTGCCTTTCAAGTACAGAAATTAAATGAAAGAAAAACACGACCAACAGATTAATAAAGAATGATCATACAAATGTTTTACACAAGCAATGAATTACTGTTCATTATAGCAAACTGAGTGTACATTATGAAAATATAATTTGTCATCTGTAAACCTGTGAAATACATTGCATTAAGAGAGGTCAGTCTAAAAGAAGGAGTGAAACGCAATTTAAGTTATCCATTTTCTCAAAACAGGTGGCTCTACATGAGTCTTTTGTAAACACACATCAATGTCTATAAATTATGTCACAAATAGTAATTACCTACAATATATGACTATACGTTCATAAAAATGCACTTTTAAAATGATAAAAAAGGACATTTGCATTGGGTCCCAAAATATGCATACTATTTGCACAATACAGTACATTGTTTTAAAATGAGTAGCTACGGAAAACATGACAATCCAGCACAGAGGTCATATGGTGGCTTTTTCTTAAATAGCAAAGTTCAACAAATACACACAAAGAGGAGAAAAATCACACTGCTTAAGAACAGTAAAGTAGAACTGAGATAAAGGAATAAAACAGATAAATAATATAAGAGTATGACCTACACCCACAAAAAGACACTGCTTTCATCATAAAATAAAAACAAATGACCATTTATAAACAAAGCATTTATGTCTAAGACAAAATACAGTAGCTGACCAAATCTTCTGCAATGATGTCACAATATGTTTTTGATATCTGGATCCAAGAGTAACCAGACCCAGATTCTGTGTCCTTGTTATTCTTAAATACCTGTATTTAAAAAAAAAAAGAAATATCTGGATCCAAGAGTAACCAGACCCAGATTCTGTGTCCTTGTTATTCTTAAATACCTGTATTTAAACAAAAGAAGAAAGAAATCAAATGCTCCATGAGTCATGTGTCCTTTATTGGCTGGCCATTTGATGATCCACTAACTACAGCATATGTTTCAACTTAAAAGTACTCAAATATAGACTAATCAAGTTCAAGGCACCTTATCTTTGGTAGAACCATGGCCACCTGCATCAGTTCAAAGTTTAGTAGTGTTTTAAAAGCAGGTACTTAGCAGATAGCAATGCATCTGAAGAACTGTCTGTTTGATCATACACAACACTAACGTGTCCACAAGGAAGGCAGAGCAGAAAGGAGTGATAAAGTACGCAAGCGTTAGTAATGCTCTCATGCCTGCATGCTAACAGCTTGATGGCTTTGAAAGGAGGGAACTAGAGAGTACTTTGAGAGAGGAAACTGCGTCCGACTCTTTGATGTGATCAGTAGGTACACACTGTGAGTAGAGGTCACTGTTTGGTTGAGGTTCTAGATCTGGATGCAGAGATGCACTCTCCGTCACTGCGATTGAGCTGGTCTTCTCTTCTCCTTGTTTCAGGTGATACATACAAGGTAGAGTGTCTGGGGAAGCCCCAATACTGGAGGGCTTTTCAGGGGGGACATCCAATTTGGGCACTAAGGTGAAACAAGTGGCCTCTGGAAGAGTCAAAGCCACATTGGTCCTGTCCTGAACTAAAGCTCTGGCCCTGCTGGGAGAGCTAAGATCAGCTGGCTCATCTTGGTTCAAAGGCCCCAGAAGGGACGTGCCATTCCACTTCAGAGATACTCCGAGATCCTCAGCTTCCATCTTTGGCCTTTTGGTCATTAACTGGTCATCTCGACTCTGCAGTTCTGTGAGCTCCACGTCTCCAGCAGACCTCTTGGTAATGGCTCGCTTGCTCAGGTTCAGCGGGAGGAATTGGTCTTGAGGAATACTGCCATTGGGTTGGGAGGTCTTGCTGAGATCCTGAACCAGAACTTCAGAAAGTCGCTTGGTGAAGGTGTTCATGTGTGCCGAGCCAAGACGGGTGCGCATCAGTTGACGCAGCTGCAGACTACAGCCAATGTCCAGTGGGAGGATCCTAAGAGGGGGCAGGGGAGCTCTAGTCACGGCGAGTCTTCCGTACTGGGATGAGGCATCTGAACTACACCCTGAACACTGGTGCTGGGGACTCTCAAGAGTCTCAGGCGTATGGACTTTGGGCTGATGCACCATAATTGTCTGCTGGGGCATGGAAGAATCTTGAGGAGTTACCTCGTGAGTACTCGCTCCATTAAGACCCAGACGGGCTCGGAAGAGGTCCAAAGGACACAGTCCTTTAGTGGGACTGAATCCTTCCAAGGAACCACCTGTCAGCAATTTGCAAGGAACTGACAGAAAGGAAGGAGCTTGAGGTTCTACAGTCTCCATCTTCACATCTCGCCCCAACACAGGTTGGTGGGGCACCGGTGTAGAGGATAAGAGCGACAGACCTTGGCCATGAGGATGGTTGGTGAGCTTTAGTTCTTGAAAAATAGTCAGTGGCTGGACAATCTCTTGATGGGGTCTTGCTGGTTTCTCTAAGGGAGGTTTGGGGTGCAAGGGCGGTCTTCCAACTCTGCCTTTGGACAGAATCTTGGCATTGCGTTTTCCAGGTGGTCTTCCTCTTTTACGTACAACAACAGCACCATCATCTTGTGGTGAGGCCTGAAAAAGTAGCACAGAAAAGAAACTTAATTTTCATTCTACTGATGTATTTTACATAATAAAATCGGCAATGCTTTCCAGATCTAGTAAGATCTAATATGATAGGTTGCAGTGGTGGGCTTTGAGGGCCAGCAAGGCCTTGTCTGCTAGCCTAAACACTATCAGAATCACTGACTTAGTTTTAATATATTTTTTCCATGAATGTGTATTAAATTATTCCCAATAGACGATTCTCTTAATTTCATAGCTTTTCTCTTGGTTGCGCTGCTTCCAGTGGTGTATGTTTATATTACAGCTTTTATCCAATCATATTTCAGCAATCATGTGTTGCCATGGTCAAAGCAATCTGCCTTGGGCCTTCAGAATCAACAGTGCAGGCGCCTGTTGCTTAAAATAAATGGCAATGAAATAGTAACCAATCAGATTTTGAGTTTGCGACACCGGGGCCATCTAGCAGGCGTCCAGTAACGTCTGTATTTTCACATCCTTCGATTGGATGGTCAGAGAGTGTACTAGTAGTCAGAGCTAGCAAGCAGCACACTGTAAATCATTTTTGTTGTTTCCACAGTATTATTACTGTATTCTCAGGTTTCTTATTTTATGCGTTGTGTACAGTATGTTATTGTAGATTTTCAATGCATTCTGGGAAAATATTAGCCTACTGTAAATCTAAATACAGTAGTACTAAATGACCATGAAAAACAACCAGCTAGTTAGCTGTGCCAACTAGTATTTTCCTCCTGCAGAGAGCTGGCAAACTTGCGGGGAGACTCGTGAAGACGAAAAGCCGTACGAGTATGTTAAATTGTTAGATCAACTTTAAAACACATGTTGTCGCCCTATTTATTTTATACTAATATTATTTGCAAGGTATAAATACGTTGAGTTAATAAATGTCTGTAAGAACATAAGGGTGGACTATATTTTTAGTCATTTTATTAGGTTAATGTTGATGCTTCAGCTTAGAGATGATGTATGTGGTGTAGCTGTGGCTGCAGTGAAAGGAGACTTGTTGAATTGTGTTAATTGGGTTTCTTGCTTTAGTAATGGCATTCATTCTCATTACATGAGATACCTATCTGTGATGCAATGCCGTGTTATACTGCATTTCTGTATAATATTGATGGTTTCTATAGCCGTGGTGTCATAATGATGGTATTGAGAGGTCGATTAATTCAGGTAGGACACCAGTGAAGCCCTAGGTTTGAAATGCACTTGCCGCCACTGATAACACAAAATCTGAGAGTAAGAGTGCGCGGCTATTTTTATCAGTCCTGATATCAAACCTTTCTTAAAGTTTTGTTTGAGATTGCTGCACAAATATTTAAATAATTTTTTCTACAGCAGTGTGGCATAAAGTATATCAGATAAATGGCACATATGAACAAAGCAAACTGTGATTTGTCACATCACATGTCAGTCAAGCTGCTCTTTCCGTGTGGCTTAATCGTTTTCAACAATTTTATTCAGAGTACTTACATGCAACGAATCAAAAGGATCAGCATTTCTCTTTTCTTGTGCTACAGACAAGTAAAATCCTTACCTGGTTGGTAACTGCATTCTTTTTTGGGCTGTTTGACACCCCTCTGCCCTGCACAGTCTTTTTGATGATAGTGGGTGAGACAAATGTAGCTCTAGGCTTGCCAAGTTCTGTGATTTCTCCTCTTACATGCAGTTCATAAGGGAGCATCAACCTAGAATTGATAGACAGAGAAAATGATAAATCAGTTGAAAGAAGCTTTTTAATACAGCAGGAATAAAATGTTGCTGTAATCAGAGCCTCACACTCACCTTTCATAATGCCGCCTGGTGCAGGTGGCAGCGCTGGTGCTGCCTGGGCTTCCACCCAACTCATTGTACACGATCTTCCACAAACGATGCGATGTCACCTGCAGGTGATGGGGAGGACAATAACTCCCACTTACACTACTGAGATCACCGCTATCACTTTCATTCTGTTATGATGCATTACAGCTTACTCAGCAGGGCCAAGCAATGAAACGACATGATAAACTTACCCTCTCATAGCCCCCCAGCCTTTTTACAACTGAATACATGAGGAAGAGGTCAACTGTGGACAAATAGTAAGACAGCTTGGTTAATTATTTAGTTAAGTTAGAAAAAAAATACATAGAAGTGATTCTAGTAAGTGACTGGTGCTCAGTTTCTGCTAAATTTCCACATGTAAAAGCAGTCATATATACATACTCTTTTTGAAACCCAGGTTGGGAACTTTGCTTATAGGGGAACCCCTGCGCTCCATAAAGAAATACAGCTGATCCAGGAAGAGCTGCTCCTCTGGATGTGGGAGCCAGTTCCCATCCCAATGCATCTCCACACTGCCCATCACATTCTCCTACAGGAATCAGTTAGAACACATTAAAAGGTCTTTCTTTCAATAACTGCTAAATAGGAACATTATGGTGTGGTCACGTTAGAGAAAAAAATTCCATTGTCTATTGTCAGTATTGTAGTGATATATGAAGCACAATTCCTCCCATTCAAACCAAGCAGCTTCCTGTTGGTCAGTGCAGTGAATCAGTGTGTCTAACTTGAAGCCGTTGCGAAATCTGCGTTGGGAAATCTTTTACTTTGACACAAAATTCCAAACTGAATGGATTTCTTTTGAAATGAGTGGATATCACCTGTGAAAATTTGCTCCCATTGAACACTTTTATAGACAATGCAAAAACTTTTCAATATAGACTTACCATAAGCATGAAATTGCTAAGCTACGGTATATACTTGTGTAGAGGCCACAGGCAATTGTAATTTTAACTTTTAAAATGATACTACGCAGCAAGCAGGGTTGTTTTGGCAATGTTAGCTATTTTAATTTTAATTGTATATGCTTGTATTTATATATTTTAAAACACAAAAATACAAATTAGTTTTCATAAAAGTAGCTGTCTTACTGGAACTACTTAGCCTTGTACCTTTTCTGTTTTTCTGGTCCCTTTAATAATATAATATAATATAATATAATATAAATGCACAAGATTATGACCAAAGAAAGTGACAGTAAAGAGACAAAAAGACACAAATGGTGTGAAAGGAAGTCAAGACATCAAAGTAAAACAAAACAGGAAGCACACAGTGACATCACAGTACACTTTTCACCATTTGTTTAAAATCTTAAAACATCCTGTTTAGCCATCAGAATTGTATTCCATAAAGATGCCTGTAGATCAAATTGTGTTGCAAACTCCACAGCATACCTTCATCCTTTCCATCCATGACTCTGATAAATGGTTATGGTTTTGCTGATCAGCACCTTTGCCATCCATGCCCTTTCTTTTACGAGGTCGCCCCTTCAGACTGAGAGAGGAGCATCCTGGGACAGAAACGTATAGCATCCTTAGGGCAACAGTACTCCACTTTTTTCCTCATGACATTTGTAATCTCATTTTACAAAAAGTCTCATTTGACTTTAAGTAGTGTGGACATTATTAAAGTACAACGATTGCAACCAAGAAAGCAACCATTTCGAGCATTTAGCTGAGTTAAAATTAAAATCAAAGAATATACACTACATATTGGAGTTGTCACAATACCAAAATTTTATAATAAATATGACTACAAGTGAAATGACACTTTTCTCAATGCCATTAACAAGGTATTAAACACTATTGAATGCACTCATTTTTAGTCAAATATTATATAAATGAATCAAATAAAAATATAATGTAGCCTTTAAGTATTTCTCAATTAAGTAAAGACTACTTCTGATATTTTATGCAATTATTTAACTAAAGGTAATAGCATAGCAAGTAACAAAATAAATTAATAAATAAAAACAAAACAAATAAATCAATTAGTGAACAGATAAAAACAACAGATTTTTAACAAATCACATAGTCTATTAAAGAAAACTTCTATCACGACTTAAAGGTCTTCTATCAACATAACTTAAGTGACATTACTTAAGATAACATGAAGTGACATTACATGTCTAAATTTTGGACCCTGTGTAAAATATTTTATGCAATTATTTAACTAAAGGTAATAGCATAGCAAGTAACAAATAAATTAATAAATAAAAACAAAACAAATAAATCAATTAGTGAACAGATAAAAACAACAGATTTTTAACAAATCACATAGTCTATTAAAGAAAACTTCTATCACGACTTAAAGGTCTTCAATCAACATAACTTAAGTGACATTACTTAAGATAACATGAAGTGACATTACATGTCTAAATTTTGGACCCTGTGTACTAGGCCCGGGCGATAAAACGGTATCGATATTTATCGACGGTACACCTTCTTCTACGGGCTGTCAGTCAGTGTAGTGTTGCGCCACAAGGTGGTGGAACATGACTGTCATTCAACTACATGTTCAAAAACGCTGATTTATTAATTCAAAAGAGACATAATGAAACACGCTGTTGAAATCATTTTAACTTTGAGCGCCACTTTAGAAGGCTCAGCTGACCAGCTATGCGTCGATGCTAAGACAGAGATTTCGCTTTCCTTGAACATGACAACCTATTTTCACAAATATATATGACTCGGCCTGGAGGACAGACGCAAGTTAGGCTTGTTAAGTGAAAATCTACGGAGCCTCTGTACAAATCAGCATGGTACACATTATGTTATCATTACTAACTTGTTTAATATTCAGTCCACATGCATGAAGTGTAAAACGAGAAGGGCATAACCTTACGAAAAAATAAAACACGGAAAAATCGCGGTTGCTGCGGTTCTTGCATTCCTCTGCGGTTTGCTCGTCAATAGCGCGGTATTGCGATAATCGCGACAGCCCTACGCGCAGTTGCTGCGTTATTCATTCAAAATATTAGGGAAATATAGAAGCTCAATGCGGAGAAGAATGGGTTAAAACCGAAACCAAGTCATTCACACAGAACGCATATTCAGCGCATTTTTTTAGACGGACAAATATGACTGCTGCACTCGCGTCTCAGACAAGAGATGTAAACAGCCATGCAAAGAAAACGCGTCACGAATTTGTGGAGGTTTATTCCTTTTCACTGCGTCTCATATGTTTTAAAATGCAATCTGTGTGAATGGCGCTTCGGCTCTTTGTATTAAGCAATGCATAAATACATGATGCTGTTTTGTTCATAATTGTTTATGCAATTTACGAAATTATGTTAGATTTTTATGAGTTAATTTAGACGTAATGCACGTTTTTTTTAAATAGAGTTACTTCCTTGCGTTGACCATTTTTAATGCGCTACATTATTTTGCTCATTGCGCCCTCCTGTGGCCTCGGGTTTCCTTAAGACCTATTTAATCTGCATATAAAACATTAGAAATTAGATATTTGTTTAATTTTTATTTTGTGTTTGATTGTTAAAACAAAAAAATGTGGGTTAATTTAAAAATACAGTGGTTACATTTAAAAAAAAATTCTACTGCTCTGTTTAAAAAAAGGTTATAAAAAATGTCAATAATTATCGATCCCAAATGATATGAAATATTATATCGTTGATAAATTTTTTTGCTATATCGCCCAGCCCTACTGTGTACACTGTATTGTAACACCCAAGTTATATATTAATAATTTCAAATGTCTTTCATTTTATTAATAAACGTTTGACAACTGAATTAGCCTGCCAAATCACAACAAAGTTTATAGTCACAATTCAACAAGAGTGTAGTACTCACCAAGCTGTGTCAGAATGCTAGCATTGCTGTCTAGAGTAGGGTGGTTGAAAGTATCCCGGCAGTAGAGGATTCGTGTGTTGTGAAGGGCCACTTTTATCCCCCCTAGAGCCAGCAGGTGAGGGTCCTGCAGACTAGGGGAGATAGCCTGATCTGGGACACGTCTTTGAAGGGAACGAAAGCGGCAGTACTGGGGGTAACTGAGAACCTTAACCTTCTGCTGTAATACTAGAGGCTCATCTGCAAGAAATCACAAAACAAAAGTGTCAGTACATACATTTAGGAACAATTTATTTGCTGTAAAATAATGATCAACACCATCACCATCAGATCAGCTGTCATGCTCTAATGCAAATTAAATTAATAATAACTATATATTGAAATACCATGAAAATATGACCGCTACAATCTCCGGGCTCAGCTGCATTATCAGACTTAATGATTGTTATATTTGCAAAATACTATAAACAAGGACATTTATGGAAGCTGAACCACCTGAAATGTCAAGTAGTGCTCTGACCTTTCAATAAAATACAATAAAATAAACGTTTCTCTCGATATCGCCCAAAACCCCTGCAGTTTCATCATGAACCGCTAGGGGCATGGGAATATCAGGACCGGGAAACTGATCTAATGCTGCTTTCAAGCCTGATTTACACCTTTGGTTCTTACATGCTTCTTACACAATGTGATGTGTTTAGTTGAGTTTAGGATGAAAAACAGGCAATTTTTACTCTCACTATTCACTTCTTAACAAAAGCCCTTAAACAGTACTAGTTTCACAAGAAGATAAGGCAAGATGTACTTTGTCTGAATCAGTAGGTGCGTTTACATGGAGCACTGTATTCTGATAATAATCGGTTTAAAAGTCCAATCTGAATGAAAATACCCAAACCATTTGAAATTTCAATCAGGTTGAGAAGGGTAGGATAAACCTTTTTATCCCACCCTTCTCCTTTTGCAGTGTGCACATGTCAAAAGATCAAACTCGATCTGAAGCTTCTGACATAAATCAACCCGATCACTTTATATAGCGTTCATGTAAACGCTATGTTCGGATTCATCAGTCGGAATGATTTCATTCTGATTGAAACAAAAAATGTCCATGTAAACATGGCTAGTGTTAGTTATGGTTGGATAAAACTAAAACTATTAATTGTTTTCATTAATTGAAATAAAGCTGAAATATAATAAAAAAACTAGAAGTGTTGCAACTAACTGACATAAGTTTAAGCTGAAGTACTAAAAATGTAAATAAATAAAGCTAAAGAGAAATACTATATTATATAATATTATAGTAGCCTACTATAGTAGTATGTAAATAATACAAATAGTATGTAAATAATACAAGTATAACTGGTCTACATCAAACATGAATGCACTTCTTTTTTTTCTTCTCAAAAAGTGCAGTCAAAATTCTAAATTCACACACACATTTCAGGATTTTTCATCAGTTTCTCACCCTCCCTCTTCGTTTTTCCTTCCTGTGGATAACTAGCATCTTGTGACCCATCAGACTTCTGAGAGCCATGAATGTTTTGACTGCTGCGCTTCCACTGTGGCGGTTCCTGACAAGTCCACTTCACCAGATCCTCCACTCTGACCACAATCTTTTTTGATACAGCGAGGACTTCATCCTGCATGCAGAAACACATATAAACACCAATCAAATGTCTATAAAACGAAACTACAAATCTTATACATCCATATGAGCTTACAGGCAGGACCAGGTTTTGCTTAATGGCCTGAAATATTTTAACAACTTCAGTGAATGCTATAGAGAAGCCTCTCCCTTTAACCTATGTTTTACTAGTTAACAATAGGACACTAGTCACCTCAGGCAAAAACAACCAACTCAAACTGCTTTTTAAAAAAGGGGGGTAAAAGCCCAGTTGACATTTAGATGCTTATTGCAACATTCTCACATTCAACTGTTTACACTGGAAACTGTGAAAAGCTTTAGGATATCTCTTTAGTCATTTATTTTGCTATAAAAAGGGATCTTGCTGTAAACACATTATTAATAAGTAAAATATTACAAGGGACATTGAGGCTTTGTTTAAAATTAGGGCTGTGCGATATTGGGAAAAAAAAGCGATATGCGATACCGGCTTTTAAAAAAAGGGGGGTAAAAGCCCAGTTGACATTTAGATGCTTATTGCAACATTCTCACATTCAACTGTTTACACTGGAAACTGTGAAAAGCTTTAGGATATCTCTTTAGTCATTTATTTTGCTATAAAAAGGGATCTTGCTGTAAACACATTATTAATAAGCTAAATATTACAAGGGACATTGAGGCTTTGTTTAAAATTAGGGCTGTGCGATATTGGGAAAAAAAAGCGATATGCGATACCTTCTTAAAAAATGCGGTATGCAATACGATATTGCTTAAAGTGTAAAAAATCTATTTAAATCATATTTTAAAATAATATAAGCAATTTGTTTCACATTCTTTCTTGGAAAAGAAAGAATCACTACAACTTCAGAAAGTGACCAGCAGTGTTTTAGCAGTACATAAAAAGTAATGTCACAAATCAGAAAATGTAATTTTGACATCAATGTTAACATACAAACAAAAAAATGAATGACACTAATTTTATATCATTGTGACTTTGCTTTCCATACACTTTAAAGGGATAGTTCACCAAAAAATGGAAATTTTATGTTTATCGGCTACCCCCAGGGCATCCAAGATTTGTAGGTGACTTTGTTTCTTCAGAAGAACACAAACGAAGATTTTGAACTCAAACCGTTGCAGTCTATCAGTCTTATAATGTAAGTGGATGGGAATCACGGCTTTGGGAGTAAAAAATAAAAACACACAAACAAAACCAAATTAAACCATGCGGCTCGTGATGATACATTGATGTGAAAAGACACAAAACGATCGGTCTGTGCAAGAAACTGAACAGTATTTATATAGTTTTTTACCTCTGATTTTCACCGCAATATCCGAACTGTCTGAACGCAGTGCGTGAGGCGTCTTCTTCTTCTTGCTTTACGGCAGATCGCAGACTTTTAAATGCATTACCACCACCCGTCTCTCAAATGGACCATTGACACTCTATCTACAATCTCAATTAGGAGTGTCAATGGTCCACTTGAGAGATAGGTGGCAGTAATGCACTCCGCCGTAAGTCTGCGATCCGCCGTAAAGCAAGAAGAAGAAGACGCCTCACGCGCCTGCTGTCGAGAACGCGCTCAGGAGGATGCGCTGAGTTGAGACAGTTCAGACATTGCGGTGAAAATCAGAGGTAAAAAACGATATAAATACTGTTCAGTTTCTGGCACAGACCGATCATTTTGTGTCTTTACACATCAATGTATCGTCACGAGCCGCAGAGTTTAATTTGGTTTTGTTTGAGTGTTTTTTTTACTCCCAAAGCCGTGATTCCCATCTACTTACATTATAAGACTGATAGACTGCAATGGTTTGAGTTCAAAATCTTTGTTTGTGTTCTACTGAAGAAACAAATTAACCCACATCTTGGATGCCCTGGGGGTAAGCAGATTAACATCAAATTTTCATTTTTGGGTGAACTATCCCTTTAAGTACTTCTTCATATACCACAGCAAAAACTATAGTCTGAGAAAGTTCAAACGTGATTAAAGGCAAGTGAACAGTCAGTAAAAAAAAGAAAGAAAAAGGGGGAAAAAAAGAACAAATACACAATTTACAAGCATAGATAAAATAAACAGTAGTATTCAAGTACAGAAATTTAATAATTAAGTGTAAAATAACACTGCATTGTGTTCACTGTATGAATTAAATTTAGATTAATCTTTGTTATAGCTGTTTTGTTGTTTGATTAACATTAGTGACATTCAGCAGCACGTATTTATAGGCTGCTGTCCTTTTAAATTCGACTGCACGGATCCAGTATGATACACATCCAATTTCTTTCTCAGCTGTTTACATTAATTTAAAACATAATTGACTGCGTTTATGAGAATGATCGTCGAGACGGGTACTATTGACATAATTCTGTGTGTATGTGTCTGTTCAAACATAAGGAGGAGATGCGAAAGACGAATCAACTCGGTGTTCGCACGCCGTCTGAAATGCGTATCTGTGTGTGTGCGCTTTGCACGTGTGCGGCAGAACTGAAGATACGCTGTGCGAGATGCGCCTTGTGCGCGCGCTTCAGGTGTGAGGCAGACAGCAAGACGAGATGGCAAAGAGTTGTTTTCTGCAACTTATTGTGTGGCAGAACTGAAGATATGCTGTGCGAGATGCGCCTTGTGCGCGCGCTTCAGGTGTGAGTCAGACAGCAAGACGAGATGGCAAAGAGTTGTTTTCTGCAACTTATTGCACTTAATAACTCTTTGTAACGTCAAGCTATTCTCTGCTATATGCATCGAACTAAAACGTTGACCTTTTGCAACGTTTTCATTTAAGTAGCCTATTATTAAAATGATTCAGATATCACACGCCGTTGCGATATGCATATTGCGATATTTCGATATATCGTGCAGCCCTATTCAAAATGCTTTCCAGTTTAGGCATGGCTACTTCATACAGCAAAAGAATTTCATTTTCAAACGATGGTAATTGAAGGGAGTCTTGATACTTTTGGTCAGCATATGGCTGTCTAACAAACTATAAAAGCGCTAGTTTATGTTCATTACTAATTCAAGCACTCTTCAACATTTTACAAGTGTTTAGAGTAACATTATTTATGATTGAAGTAACAAACTCTTATTATTACTAGTTAAATCATTTAACAGCAGTTCAGTCAGGATCTCTTAAGTCAAAAAGAAAACCATAGACAAGTATTTAAGTCAACTTTTTTATTGGCATGTTTACTAAAGTTACATTTGGCGGTATGGCTCTGTTCCAAGTTCCCTGTCCTTTTCATGAGCTCCATGAAAGCCAGGACAGGGAAACAGCAGTCGCTTCAGGGGCAACCCTCCTATTTTAAGAATAGGAGAATAGCACAAAAAAACCCCCAGAACAGAGCATGTAACAATGACAACAGAATGACATTGTTTAAGTTAAGCACAGTTAAAGGAGGAGATGGGGAGGAGGTGGGTTGCAAGCAGCATAATAGAGGAAGCAGCAAAGCAAGCAGACAGAAGCCGCGTTTAAGTAAGATGCCCTGTTTGAGGGGCCAGGTTTGAATTTCGCCAGTCAGCTGATAGTGGAGCTTGACTACGAGGCCTGCCTGAACTAACGCAGAATGCTTGATTTTTTCATTTGCACAAAACAGAAAAAGGGATTGGATTTTACATTATCCCTTTTGTGTGTCATGCTCAGGCCATGTTCAAGAGAAAATACACAGGTAATATGGAAAACATAAGAAATGCAATGCTGTGCATGTGTGTGGCCCCTGACAAAATTAAGCATTATTACATTAATTGAATATATTACAGATAAATAAAATAATTTCTGTATGCATTTTGCATTATTTATAAATTATTATTATTACCTATTTATATTTTAACATATCTAAAATAACTTTTACAGGCCAAAGTTTTTCTTATAGAGCTTTGTTGTACTGTAAACTACTCTGTTCTTGTCAAGAAAATAGCCTTTGGTAATAACTCTTATAACAATATCAACTCTTATAACAATAACAACAATATCAATGTTGAAAACAGTTTTTTGCGGCTTAATATTTTTGTGGGAACATTATTTTTTTTTAAATCTTTTATGAATAAAAAGTTTAAAATGGCAGGATGTATTTCAAATGCAAATCTTTTGTGACATTATAGATGTCTTCACCGTCAATCTTTGATCAATGTAATGCACGCATATCACAGTTTTCACAAAACAAATATTAAGCAGCAAAAAAACGTTTAACATTAATAATAAGACTGAAGTAATGGCTGCTGAAACTCCAGCTTTGCCACAACAGGAATAAATTATATTTATATTTCTACTAAAACAGAAAACTAATGTAATAATATTTCACAATAATACAGTTTTTACTGTATTTTTCATCAAATAAATGCAGCCTCGATGAGCATCTGAGACTTCTTTCAAAAACATTAAAAAATTTTAATTATTCCAAACGTTTAACTCTATTGAGGTACTGACCATATCTAATCAAATTAATTGAGTTTCTTTCAGATTATTTGAATCGCCATAAGCCATTTGCTTTATTTATGGCTTTATGTTACTATTTATGTTTTTTATTATTTATTTTTATTAACACACAACTGCAAAATATGTTAAACTATTCATATATATATATATATATATATTTATTTTTTAGCAACAATGGCTATATTCATGACAATATTAACTATTATTAATATATATAAAATGGTGTGTATATCTACATTCAAGATGGTAACATACAGTAATCCGGTGCTCATGGCTGGATCTATGCACTCGTTTCCTTTAACCAAAGATTATTTATGTTGCTTTTCCCAGCTCTCACCTCTCCGTGCTCTACTGCTCTGCCCTTCGGTGTGTCCTCAGGTAAGAAGTAGAGTCTAGAACTGGCCAGCAGGCGGCGTTGCGTCTGATCTTCCCATAGCAATGTGACCTCTGCTATACACACCGGCTCCTGGGGGCCACAGCGCATGAAGTAGAACTCCCCAAGCTTCCAAATCTGCGTTGGTCCCCCGGATGCTTGCTTGCAACCCACTGACTTATAAAAGGCAAAAGACCCTCGAAGGCAGCTGGGTGCACCTAACCACTGTTTAAGACAAGAGCAAATAGGTTAGAAAATAAACATGTTTGCATGCACATATGAAAACAACAGAATAAAGTAACCCACCATATGGCTTTTTTGCAGCTGCATGAGAAAATGACACATTTGCTTAGAATACTGAGTCAGAGCACAAAAAGTATAGGGTACACAAGTTCACAAGCATTAAAACCAGACTATGGTTAAAAAAAACAACTTATCAATTCATATAGTTGATTTGGAATTTGCTCCTGTGCACATATTTTTTTCATTACACAAACATTCAACAACAGTCAAAGCTCTAGAAGAAAACTTATGCATACGAACTATGAAGCTCAAATACACACATGCAAACACCCTTCACATGATTCAAATGATCTGTCTGAGCAGTAAGCATTGCAATCTTCACAAACCAGCTGAGCGGTAGGAAAAATATCAATGTCTTTTATCAGTGTTTTTGCTCAAATCGGAGGCAAAAAATTCCCAAAACATAATATACAGTAGGGGCAAATTACACGGGTACTAATCATTCACATAACCTATTCAGAATTGCTTGGTCCTTGTTGGTTTCCATGGTTGAAAACAAATTCCAGTGTATTAATCTACTTGGGAATGGCCTGATAGCAGCGGAAAAACAAAGATAATAAAGAGGTTTTTTTTGGGGGGGGGGACAATAAATGTGGACAATAAATGTGACTCACTGAAGGCTACACTGAATATCACAAAACATTTTTTTTGGAATTAATTAAATATTTAAATAAACATGTATATACATATGAAGACTGATTTATTCATCTCAAACATACCATAGATAATTCAGTTGATAAAAATGACAATTTTTGGTTAAAAGCATGAATGTGTGGTTTAATATATTCTTTATTTTAATAACATTAAAATGTCTTAATACTAGTGTTATTGTTTTAATATCTTATTAATATATAATAAGATATTGTTACTGTACTACTAAAATAGCTCATAAAATAAACAATAAAACAAACAGATAAAATACTTAAAGTAGGGATGCACCGATATGAAAATTTTGGCCGATACCGATAACCGATAATTCTTTATTTTTGAAAGCCGATAAACGATATGTTGGCCGATAAATCTATATCCAATTTTTTTATATACTTTGAGAGCTTGATTACAAAAAAGGTCTCCTCATTAAAAAACCACATCCCAAACACTTAAACATAAGCAGCCTAATTTGAACGGTGTATGTTTTAAAAATAATTTTACTCTCCCATTACCAAATTTAGTCATAAAAAAGTCTTACAATAAGAGACTTCCTTAAAAAAATTATTACAAGTCTTACTGATCCCAAACGTTTGAGCGGTAGTGTATATTAAATTATAATATTACATATAATTTGTTATTAATATTTGAACGATAAACTACACAATTATTACAACTAAAAACAATACAATTATAAATTATTATTTGTTTTTATGTCAGCACCAAAGGCTACTTCCATTGCAAAAACAGAGTAATATGACAAATGATTAAGAAATAAGCTCTTAGAGCACTAAAAGGACTTAAATCTATACAAGATCTTTCCGTTTTCGTTGTTATTAATATGTTGTTTACATTTAAGATATTAAAATAGTCATAAATGGATTATAAACAATGCAATATGCACATGTAAATTATTTCATTTATCCGTAATATATGTCTTTTGTAAAGGGACCTGATCCGCACATGCACAGCATTGTATGTCATATGTTTTCCATAGTAATAGTGTACTACTGCCTCTTAAAAGTGGCAGGAGATAGTCACAGTACTTTAACTTAACATGTCAATCACAGGACGTGTTCACGAGGTAATAATACACAGTCATGGGTCACTCACCCCTCGCCCCACCCCCACCGATAACCCGAATATTCACCAAAAAACCGACCAATCAGAAGCCACAACATTCGGCGTCCACATGTCGAGCGCCTACTGGTAAAAAAAGAGAACTAGACTTACAGTTAAACCACATACACATCTGTGGCTGTCAACTTTTTACTTGCTGTACTTTAACAAACACCAAAAGGAATGTATCATCCCAATTCTAAACACACGGAGAGCTTGAGAAAGATTTAGAAAGGCAAAAATATAATAACGAATAGAGCTTTTACTGTGCCCAAAATTGTTTATATTTAATAGTATGCAAAATGAAAATATGCTCATATTAGACAAAATGTTTATATACAGTAATTTATATAACAACAGTGATAAACAACATCCTCAATCCGGGTGCTTTGTGAGGCTTAATAATGCTGGTATTCATTCAATACGCGCAATAACATATTTTAGGCAACTTCCTACTGCCACATACATAAAAGTCTCATAGGCTTTCATTTCAAAAATGTACTGCTATAGCCTAGCATTTCTAGCCGACACGAAAATCTCATATTAATATTAAAAGCCACGAAACAACCATATTACGTTATATTGACTAAACACAGCATTTTAAATATAATATCACGGCTCATACAACAACAAAATAGCTTAAGCATGATGAAAAAAAACTTCGTAGTCTCAAAGAAAATCAGCAGCTCCATCAAGTTTACCTCTTCCTACAAGTTTCATTACCACGTCATTTTAAAATCATGCTTAATATTCGCGAGATTTTATCGAAAAATATGTCGACAGATTGTGAATAAAAACAATACAGCTTTCCCTTGAAAACCGCGGACTGGATTCATATCGTTTTTAATAGAAAATAAAACAAAATCTGTGTGGCAAATGTGAAAAGTGGGGGTGGGGGGGCAAGAGGGAGAATCTAGGTAGTCAACACGATACACAAAAGAAATTAATCATTAACGAAAAAAAATAGAAATATCAAAAGCAGGCGTTCTTGATATAACAATACATTTAAAAAAAATATATAAAACCAATACAGCATCGAGGAAATTTCAAATACATTTAAAAACCAATAAAAGTTTCTCGTCGAAATACGAGACAATATTTTCAAGTCTCCGTTGGCTTGATTGGATAGGAATCAATTCGTTATTTTAGCGAACTTCAAATATTACGACGTGTCGAGGGAGCCTCGATTAACAAATAACGATTTTAATTTTCAAAAACAAAGGAGCAAATTTCAAGCTCGCGCGGCGACCGCCTCGAGCTGCAGCAAAGTAACAATTTAAAGTTGTAATTCAGTTTACCTGTATCGTACTCTGCTCCATTGCAACTCAACATTCCCTGATCACTCTCTCTATGCCCCCTATCAAGTTACACAGCCGGGTACTAACAGCACCGGCACACACACAAACCTAGCTGAAGAAAAGCTAGTGCTTTTTTGTGAAAATAGGGCAGGATCTAGGTGTGGCTTAACTCTATTTGCCAAAAGAACTTTAATATATGTTGTGCATTGTACATTAAATTGCTTGTGGAAACATGCTCGCTGTTTAATTCAATCCAGTGACTAACAACGATTATTAAATACAGCACAATTTCAATATGGAGCCCTGAAATCAGCATTTCAAGACAAAATCTATATCTACAGCACAGAGCATGCGTGTTGATTTTTAATGAAATGGTGAACACCTAAAGATTAACATTAGTAGTGTATCGTGAAATATCTATAATTTTTTTGCGTTATTTATTTGAAATAGTATGGCTACAATAGCAGCTATATACGCAGGAGATTTCCTCTAAAATATACATTTTCCAACTGTAAACACTAGTCTTGTTGGCCAGCACAGTCGTTTCCTGGAACAATTAGACGAGTCCGTTTTTAAATGTAAAATAGATATTAAAATATTGATTTAATAAACAATATATATTCATGTATTTAGTTCTCCAGCAGGGGGAGTGTGCACGTGACCATCTCCACCAGACAATGGCTGTGACATTAAAATAATTTTTTTCCTGCTCTTGAACTGCATGAAAACATGGTTGACTCGTGGTTGTCTGTATATGGAAATGTATTGGATGATGACATCACTGAATCATCAATGAACTGGCTTTATCTGGAAAAATGACTCTTTGTTATTGTCTTGCATTATTGACAAACTATTTTCCTGTTTGACACTGTAAAGCTGCTTTGACACAATCAGTATAAAGCGCTATACAAATAAAGGTGACTTAAGGCTGTAAGACAAAATATCCTCATATTATTTAAAGATATTTAACAATTTGATATTAAACATAATATTAGTGGCAGGAAGCCCAGCTAGGAGGGCAACAGACAAATACAAGCTTTACAATATTGATTGCAAACACTATTGAGAATTTGATTCTTTCCCATAGTTGGAGGCATGTGCAGAACAAATGTCCCCCATCAGTCCTGAGATGACATGTGACAGCAGGAGGTCACACCACCATTGCAAAAAGGGGAAGTCGTGGCCTAATGGTTAGAGAGTCGGACTCGTAACCCAAAGGTTGTGGGTTCGAGTCTTGTACCAGCAGGGATTGTAGGTGGGGGGAGTGAATGTACAGCGCTCTCTCCAACCTTCAATGCCACGACTGAGGCACCCTTGAGCAAGGCACTGACCCCCCGTGTGTGTGTGTGCGCGCACACACTTTGGATGGGTTAAATGCAGAGCACTAATTCCGAGTATGGGTCACCATACTTTAACTCACTCTTGCATTTTTATTCTTCCGGGCTGTTGTAGAATATCTGGTGCATATGAAGCAACTGGATATAGTTTTTCTATTTACAAACCTTAATTTCCCCACTAATTATGTTAAGGGTATTGGTAACCAGTGTTGGGGAAAGTTACTTTTAAAAGTAATGCATTACAATATTGCGTTACTCCCTAAAAAAGTAACTTATTACGTTACTTAGTTACTTTTTATGGAAAGTAATGCGTTACGTTACTTTTGAGTTACTTTTTAAATCTGGGCAGGGCTTGCTTGTTTGTTTTTAATATAAAAAAGTTCATCTTTTACAAACATAAAAGCCTTTTCATGAGAAAAGTGAAATGAATACGCCTCAGGCTGAAGGAAATGTAAATTCACGTCTGTACAGTAGAGGGCGCAGCGCAAACAAATCGCATGAAGAATATGACGCAGGAGAAGAAAGTTCAACACTATTCAGCAATAACTAAAATCAAACACAAATGTGTCATTTTTGATTATTAGTATGGTTAAATTGGATCATCGAAGGTCAGTAGCAAAGACATTGGTTAATAAAATGGGATTAAATACATAAATGATATTTGTCTTATTTAACATATTTCATTATTGCAGGTTTGTATAATATTCTGAGTTTGCATTTGACTGTTTTTATTCATTTTGAGGAATACTAAATCTGTTTTTGTGCAGGTGAGAGGAGTAAACACATGTTCATATTTAGTCTAGAACTACAGTACGATCATGTTCACACACAACGCTCTGCACTCACTCCTGATTTCTCTCAACATGGCAACCCCAGAGCTGTCAGTCAATACATGGAAACAAAGTAACTGGAGTTACTTATTTGAAAAAGTAACTCAGATATTTCCTTCTAAATGAAAAAGTAATGCGTTACTTTACTAGTTACTTAAAAAAAGTAATCTGATTACGTAACTCGCGTTACTTGTAATGCATTACCCCAACACTGTTGGTAACACTTTATTTGAGGGTCTCTTAACTAGTTGCTTATTAGCATGCATATTACTAGAATATTAGCCATTTATTAGTACTAATTAAGCACATATTAATGCCTTATTCTACATGACCTTATTCAACATCCCTAATCAGTTGATGGGCACCATTGACTTCCATAGTAGGAAAAAAAATACTATAGAAGTCAGTGGTGCCCACCAACGTTTTCCAAAATATCTTCTTTTGTGTTCAACAAAAGAAAGAAACACAAACAGGTTTGGAACAAGTGGAGGGTGAGTAAATGATGACAGAATTTTCATTCTGGAAGTGATCTTATCCAGGAAGCTGGAGCACTCGTCCTCACACTGTGTCTAAAAGACCTCAAAGGGGTGCTGTTACACATTTTTTTGTAAGTGCTAAACTCTGCATGTGTGGATTTGAATCCCATTCTTGCCAGTCGATTTATCCCTAAATGTCTACGAGATAAGAAAGTTGAGAAGTGCTTAGACATTCAACATTCTCTCAATACTGCACTAAAATGTATTTGTAAAGTGCTCTAAAACTGACTTGAAAATTGTGCTGATTTGGAACTGGTACTAACAATTTCTAGAAGTGAAATATACCTACCTTGAGAAAAAAGCATGCTTAATTGTTTTGAATATGCACTTCAAATGCACTGTACTTGCAGATTAAATAATATTCATGAAATAAAAGGCCACTTAAAGAGAGTACACTTTCATTAAATTACATTAAAATTTGTAATGATGTGAAATTAATAGCTTTAGAAGTTAAAAGTACATTTTAAATCATCGTGCTTTAATAAACTTTTGTGGTGCTACATACTAAAGCACATGTAAAGTACTTGATATTGTGTGTAACTGTAGGGTTATTCAATATTACATTTAAAGTTAACATATATTTCAAATGTACTAAATTGCAACTTAATCATTACAAATGTGTCATTTCAAAAAATATGACATACAAGTTTCAATAGAAATTACATTAGAGTATATTCTTGAATTATTCTTCATAAATGTCAAAAATTGACAAACGTCAGTACATTTTGGTAGCACACATATTTCAAAGACAATAGAAGTAATAATGGAATTATATATAAAAAAGTGGGTCAGAAAAGCACTCTTACATTCAACAAATTACATTTAATCTATATTTAACAACAAAACAAAACAACATAGCGATGGTACTTTCGAGTTAAAGCTACTTTAATTTATTTTAAAACTGACCTTGACCTGCATGCTGGAAAACCAAGCTTCTCAGGAAGTTTGTGGCATCCTGAAACCAGATAGCTTAAATATCAACATATATACTGCATCAGTTTTCCTTTCAACACTCTCTTGGCAATGAAATATGAAATATGACACTTTGTGTTTTAGTTTGCAATCTTGCAAGAAATACTGCTCAGTATGAACAACTCATGAGCTTCCTTATTTTTATCAGTTCCCACAAGTCAGAGGAAGAAGCCCTAGAGGCTGCAGGCCAAAGGGATTCTGGGTTACTGCCAAACAGTATGCAGAAGTGTGCTGGGCTGATAGTCTAGTTTGTCAATGAAACAGAACTGGACTTGTTTCACTTTGAATTTCTCTTCAGGAGTACATAAAGTTCATCTGTCTTATTGCTTAAAAATTAAATCCTTTAAGCTAAAACTAAAATCCATTCCAAATTTAACAACACAAAAGCCATTGTTTCTGCATTATTCAGAATAAAACACAATATCACATTCACCAACCTGAGCTTTTTCAAAGCATGTTAGGTGATGTAATATACCTATGATGCTTGTGCTTAGAGCTGTGAATCACGCCAACTTTACCCTGATGACAAACTAACACACACACAAACACACACACAGGTTTGTTTTTATGGTTTATGGGGACTCTCCACAGGCGTAATGGTTTTTATACTGTACAAACCGTATTTTCTATTGCCCTACACCAACCCTACCCCTCACAGGAAACTTTCTGCATGTTTAGATTTTCAAAAAAACGAATTCTGAATTATTTATAAGCCTTTTGAATTACGGGAACACTGAAAATGTCCTCATAAATCACCTTCTAGTTGTAATACCTATGTCATACCCATGTTATTATACAAATTTGTGTCCTCATAAACCACATAAACATGCACACACCCACACACCCACACACCCACACACACACAGGTTTGTTTTTGTGAAAAGTGGGGACATCCCATAGGCGTAAGGGTTTTTCTACTGTACAGACCGTATATTCTATTGCCCTACACCAACCCTACCCCTCACAGGAAACTTTGTGCCATTTCAGATTTTCAATACACTCCATTCTGTGTGATTCATAAGCGTTTTGAAAAGTGGGGACATGGGGTAATGTCCTGAAAAGTCACCTTCTCCTTGTAATACCTATGTCATACCTTTGTCATTATACAAATGTATGTCACAAAAACGCGCACGCACACACACACACACGTTTACTTAGCTATCCAAATGGGGACATTACATAGACTTCTATTGTTTTTATATACAGATAGTTATATACTTTTTAACCTAAACCCACCCCTACCCCTCACAGAAAACTTTCTGCATTTTTACAATTTCAAAAAAACGTTGTTTACTTTACTTGTATGCCAGTTTTACAAAAGAGGATTAAAGTGCACATGAATGTTTTATGAATGAACATTAACAATGAACATTTGTAGATTTTACCTTGACTTGAATATAGATGAAATGCTATATACATGTTCTGTTAGCTTGTGAGAACTAATGCATCAACTATT